CTAAACCCAGCCACATGTTCTTTCTCTTTTTCTAGTAAATCCAATGGAATAAGGGTCGGCAAAAGGACATTTTGAACGCCACGGGACACAAATTTTTTGTCAAGGACATTCTGAATATTTTTTCACAAAGCATAGCCGTGCGGGGGCAAAATGAAACTCCCTTTGGTGGCTCCATAAAAAAATAACCCACCCTCATTTAATAATCTGCTATATTTATCCGTTTTTTCTTTTTCCATGAATTAAAATCTAGTGGTTTGGACTTGGCTCGCGCTCCTCTTCATTGGTGTCGTCATAATTTGGAGGAAGATGATTTTGTCGGCGTAAATTATTTTTGTAGTCGTTCACCCGAGTTTGAAGAACGTCCTTTAATTCCTCATGAAAGACCGAAGCCGCCGGAATAATTTTAGGATTATTTTCTGCTACTCCCGCCTCTAACGAACCAGTAACCGCTTTTTGTAAATCACGGAAATTAAGACCCATTTGTTTCTTTTGAAAACGAGCAGCATTTTTTTGAATTGACTGGTAAACATTATCCCAGTAATCTTTCGGTCATTCGACAACTTTTTCTTTTTCTTTTTCTTTTTCTTTTTCTTTTTCTTTTCACAAATCCTCATTGAGGTGAGTTTTTCAACTTTTTTCCATTACTTCTTGGAGGTAATCAGTCAATTTTCTTAATTCCTCGCCAGTCGGGTAATTAACATAAATGCGACGGCCCAGCCGGCCTGGCCGCACGAGAGCGTCATTTAACACTTCTGGATTATTGGTAGTAGCAACTACGACAATATTTAATTTTTTTTCATTTATTTCGTCAAAGATTTTCAACAGACCATCCACTTCACTTTTGCTGGAAGTATTATGACCGGACAGGTCCTTCGTTCCCACAGAGTCAATTTCCTCAATAACGATTGCTACCGGCTTGGTTTCCCCTCGCTTGGCATTTTCTTTTACCAATTCTTTGGCACTGTTGAAAACATGCTGCTGCTTTTCGATACTGGAACCAACTCAGATTTGGGATTCAAAATGGGCCTTGACAAAATAAGAGGTCTCATTATGACAAAATTCCTCAATGGTGAAACTTTTTCCCGAACCCGGTGGACCGCAAAATAAAACATGATTATCCAATTCTAGCCCTTTTTTGGTTTGATATTGGGACAGAAATTTGAAGCCATTAAGCCAATTTTTCACTCTTTTTTT